TAATAATCTCATTGTGTAGCCCTAATACTCATCATATGAATGCACAATCAAAGCTGCACTGTTTTTTCTCTTTTTTTTGGTTGTTTAATTGCTGCCAGGTTGGTGGTTTCATTGTTGCCACAGCAGTGAACACAAATAACCCACATTCTGACTTGTTAAATGTTTTTGCTGTGTTTGTACAAACGGGTAAGTCTTTTTTTAGTCAAGGGACTGAGCCATCTTGAAATTCTCATTTTCTTACATAACTGCATTCACGTCGTTCCCATAATGACGTGAATGCAGTTGTGTAAGAAAGGTCTGACCGGTTAATCCACACGCTCGGCGTTCTCTTACAAAAGCAGTACAGTGTTTTTCCAAGTCCCATTAGCAATAATTACACTAAAAAAGACATTTTTGTAATAATCACCTTGTAACACCTGTCCTACTTCTACTGGCAACATGACAGAAGAGGCCAGTCCATAAATAAGTTCAGTTATTGTTAGAACAAATCAAGAAGACAAATAAATTAGATTAAATCTTTACAATAATAATAAGTGAATGTGRCTGTTAGCTCAGTCAGTGCTGCAGTTTGACACCAGGTTGTGTCAGGAAGAGCATCTGGAGGAAAAATTACACATTTTTTTGTGTTTTTTCATGAGTTTGTTGCTTGTTTCCTGCAGAAAGAAGCAGCTGAAACATTATTAACAAATGCTGCAAAAATTTGAAGACAGGAGTCTTGTTTTGGATAAACAAAGTGCTAAARYTGAAAAAAGTTGCTTCTTTATGACTCACTAAATTATTGTGTAAAGTGTTTAATGACTGAAAAGCTGATTTTGCTCCATTTTACTGGTTTAAAAAGTCAGGAATATGGAAAAAGCTGCTTTAATACAATCATTTTTAATGAGTGGTGTTTGTCAGTACGTTGGCCTCAGCAGCAGGTGGCAGCAGGTCGACACAGAGCTGAGGCTCCAGGATGGAGTCCAGGACTGTAATCCTTTGTGTCGTTGGTTAAATAACACGACTGGAGCGTTTGTTTGGTCGGGATGAGGGTTGCGTAAGCAGAACATGTAATTTTCTGGTGCTTGGAACAATGAAAGGTCAGTGTTTGTATTAAAGCCTCCTCAGCCTGACTGGTCCTGAGCTGCTGCTTCTGTTTGGGTAATAACTTAACACTTTAAAGAAATTGTTCAAGTGTGATCATGATCAAATTAGGATGCTTTTGAATTTCGTTTTCATCTTTGACGTTTGGAAAAGTGACGTTCCAAAACCTAGCAAACAATAACTGAGCTCTACCTGGTGTTTCCTGCATGAAAACAGTGTTTTGACTCGTCCTCTTATAAACACTGAGAAGTACTACGTGTAGGACTGAATGTGAAAGAAATAAAGCGGAAATACTGTTAAAAGTACAGCTGAGATGTGGGGAGTAGTTCCTCCCACTTTCCAACAGGGAWCTCCCACTGATGAACGCATTTCAGTTTMAATTTACGACWTGTAAGTGGGAAGTTCCCTCTTCCCAGTACAAAGCATCAAAAGTAGCTGACAAAAATACAGCCAAATGGAGATTTTGCACAACAATTTTTAACTTTTGAACCCTGTGCAGCTCCACCTGGTGGTGGGATGCTGTCATTACATAAAAAAAATCGACGTGCGTTATGGGAGATACAATACAATACAACTTTATTTATAAAGCACTTCAAAAACAACACTGKTGGACCAAGGTGTTGTATATTAATAAAATCCCATCAAAGCAAACATAAAAACAATAAAATAAGTAAAATGAGCCAATAATATTATAAAACAGCAAAAAACAAAAACATCTCAAACTGAGTTAAAAGCCAAGGAGAACAAATGTTTTGAGCAGAGGTTTACAGTAACTCAGTACATTTACTTCGTCACAGTTCTTTTTTTGAGGATTTGTAATTTTACCAATTATTTTTTGTAAACAACTACTTTTATTTTGTTACATTTTAAAGCTAAAAATGATACTTTTACTTCTTTACTTCAAAATGTGACACCTAGTTACTCGTTACAAAATTAAATATGTTTGAACTCATCATGAAAGATGTTTCTGCTCTAAAAAATGAAATGTTGGATTTACTCAACAAAATCATGTCAGCTGGTTCCACTGAGCCTAGTYGAGTAAAYTGAGCAAAGAAWATAAACTGTTCAGTTGACTCAACCTGATTTAGTGGAACCAGTTTGGTTTAAATTCAACACTTCATTTATTATAGAGTGTGTAAAAGTACTTTTACTTTTACTTTCCCAATTTTTGTGAACAGTTTTATGACTTCTACTTGAGTAGTTTTCTCATCAGTGAAATTTATTTTTTCCAAAGTCATTTTCTGTTCATGTAATTTTACTTTCACTTAGTTTTTTTTTCCAGATACTTCACAGAGCTCTGGTTTTGAGAGCAGATTTGAGAACAGGAAGTGAGTCGGCCTGTCTGATGTACGAAAGCAGCTCATTCCAGTTTTTCATTCTGGGACGACCAACAGGAAGTGATCTGCTGAGATGTAGTTTATGGTCAAAGCTGCCTTAAAAGCAGCATATTTTAAAACATTAAAACATCTTTGAAGCTCTCATGGGCCATATAAAATGCGGCGGCGGGCCACATTTGGCCTGSGGGCCTTGAGTTTGCTACACGTGCGTTTGAGTCGAGAAGTTAAAGTTTTTCAGAGCTGGACGGAGCGAGGGCGCTGCTGCAGTCTGTTGTGGAGAAAAAGCTCTGAGTTTACGGGTTTGCTCCGACTTGGCCCCAGGCGTGTCAGGTATTTAGTGAGGATGCCTCCTGGTCGCCTCATGCTGGAGSTTTTCCACGGCGTGTCCCACAGGAAGAAGCATCAATGCAGAACAAAAAATCTGCTGGAGGGATTAAAACTTTTATCTTCTCTGGCCTAAACAGAGGATCCTCACTGTGCGTGGGTATGATTTTAAAGTGCCTGACATGCCTATCTTTCAAATACAAAAGGTCAAAGAAAGTATCTTTACACTTAAAAAAATTAGCATAGTACACACAATTTTACCCATTTTGTCACATAACTGTCCTATTTTCTTTTGAATTTGGCTCAGTCAGTGAAACAGGAAGTGACATCAAAGAGGAACTCAAATAATCTCTGGTCTCTGTTTATTAAAACAAAATTATTTAAACTTTAACTCTTCTTTGTT